CGGTGCTAGGACCGAGATCGGGGCTGCCCGGCGGGGCTGGGGCGCGCAGGGCGGGCCCCTTGAGGGCCGTAGCACGCAGGCGCAAATGAGCCAGGTTGGGGCGGTGGGCCCGCGCTCCAGCTCCTGTGTGCCGCCAGCTCGCGTTCGCCTGCTTCTCCCAGCGCGCGTGCATCGGCCGAGGGCACGCAGGCTCGTAACCCGCGGGACCAGGAGCATCTGCCCGAGTCCGGGCCGTCCGCACTTCTACAGTATTCTGGGGACTGGAGAGGAGTTGGCGCGCCGGTCGGCGGCGTTCGGACCAGGGCTTCCCAGACCCGACACCCCCACGACCTAGTCCCTAAAGTACCGAGTCCTCCCACTGGCCTTGTCTCTGACTACACCCCCTGAACTCTTCAAGGTACCCCTCCCAAGAACCCGGGGGTCGGTGTCTGGCCCCTAGGTCTGTTCTGCAACTTGGGCAGGGCTCTCGGCCCCTTTCCCCAACACAAACGCGCGCGCGCGCGCCTCTCGAGTCTGATTCAGTCTTCGTACATTGGTTTTTCTTTAATACATGATTTCCAAAACACGCATTGTTGGGGGTCACAACCTATATAACATTTCTACACATATCAGCACCCTTTAGACCTCATTGTTTCTTTTTCTTTTCTTTTTTTTTTGCAATCCAGTATCTGTAAAGCTCTCTCCGTGTCTCTAGGTGTACACCTAGTGTATTCCTTAGGATGCCGCTGGATACACGCCACTGGACAAACATTTGCCACGACATAGCCATTCTAGCGATGTCTCCAACTCTAGGCTTCCATAAACTTGCTGCACAGTGAGAACTCAGGAAGGTTTTGAAGATGTTTTCCACCTAGCATCTCCTCACGAACTGTTGCGCTTTTCCTGTCTCCAATATCCAACTGGGTGTCTTGTGAATTTTCATTTTCCTTTGATTATCTTAAATATTAGGCTCTTGCTGCTTTTGTTACAGATATTTTTACTCAGTCCTCCTTTGTTAAAAAAAAAAGAAACGTTTTTTCTAGATAGTGGGGCATTTTTGTTTTTTTCATTTTCAGATATCATTGGTGGCTGTGCGATATTAACATACCTAATAACTGTGTGTGGTGGTTGGCACTCCGATTATTTCTGCAGAACCTCTTCATTCTCTGAAGTTTTGAGACCAGGTTCCCTATTCTTTGCATTATGGCTCCTAGCATGACCCCGCAGACTTAGCATTCCCTTATAAGGCGCATGAGTGATCCCGTGTTCAGGAATCTTGCACCATCCTTCCTGTGTTTCAGCCTATGAATTCGTGGATCCCTCTCTTTCAAGAATCTTCTCTGCACAACCTCAGGGGCTGACCGCCATGCTGACTGCTGACCTTTTGAGTATTTTAAACTACGTCTGCAAGGAAGTAATACCACAAAGCTCCATTCATGAATCCTGTCCAGAACAAAAGGCCGGGACCCCAAAATAGACAAAAAGGATTTATTTACAGAGGTTGCTGGCTGAGAGTAGGATGTGTTTACAGATGGAGCGTGGAGAGGGATTAATGCCATAGAGGTTGGTCTGAAGGTGAAGTATCAGCCCATCTCTCAGGGCCCAAGGCACCTGTTCAACCCCACCACAGGGCAACACAACTTCTTACTTGCTATCAGGGCAATGAGCAGTCGGGGGAGGGGGGTGGGAAGAATCTCATCCACTTTTGCACTGGAGGCCTATGGCTCCACCACACTGCCTCCTCCGTTACCCTAGCACCTTGCAGGCATTCTGGTTAATCGCCTACTAGAAATCGTAATCCGAGGTGGGGGCTTGTAAGTAGGGGCAGGAAACAGCTTCCTTTCATACTACATTGCCAGGCTGCTATCCCTGTTACGAAGATGCAGTCCGAAGATGCAGTCTGTAGCATGACACAGGAAAAATAATAATAAATGGGCCCTCCATGGTGGCGCAGCAAGTTAAAGCACAGCACTGAGAAACTAAAATCACTTCAGCATGAGTTCAATCCCCACCCCGGAGGTGACCACATGGTGCCACAGACCTCT